ACACACACACACACACACACACACACACACACACACACACACACACATACACACACACACACACACACACACACATTATGAGGAATGGCGAAGGGTTTGTCAGTGCTTGCAGTTGCACTCCAGGCCAACCGGGGGGCTGCAACTGTGCAGTCGAGGTTTGTTCAGATAGTTGTTCGGTTTTTCCAAAGCAGTCCACTCTGTCACTGACAGACTGTCGGCTAGACAAGCGATTGACTGGTCAGGATACACATTGACAAACAGTGGACTGGTTTCTCGCCCGTGATTTTTGATGATGCGTGCGAACAGGGAGCGGTCATCATGTTGGTCTTTGAGAGTGCGTTTGACCTGTGGGGTGTTTGTCACCTGTGGTGTGTTTGTCCCGGCAGGGTGGAAGTCAGTGAGCGGCGGCAAGACCCCCCCCCACATCCCCAACGAAAAACAGCGCCTGGCCTCGCCTGCCACAGCCCCGCCCGTCCCCCATGGCGGCGCCGCGGCCGGCCTCTCGCCTTTCGCTGCTGCTGGCTGTCCTGGCCTGCACTGGGCCCGCACGGCCCTCCCCCCCTCTGCTGCTGCGGCCCCGGGAGAGAGAGAGGGACTCGGGTGGCGTCAACATCGCCGTGGTGCACTCTGGATCCTCCCTGCTCCCGCAGACAGCGGCGGCAGCGGCGGGGGCCGTAGAACCGGGTCCCGGTCTTGGGAGCGGCCAGGGCGGCGTCCAAAGGGGCCTGACGGACACAGGGGTGGTGGCGGCGGCGGCGGCGGTCACGGCGCCCTTTGCAGCCTCCTTTGCATCTACTTCGTCGATGTCCGTGCTGGTTAGGGAGATTGTGATGACGCCGTCTGGGCCGGCCACTGTCATCTACCTGAAGGTTAACGAGAGCAGCCCGGGGAGCCTCCTGTTGCAGCTGTGCGAGCTGCTCGCCACCACGCCGCTGCAGGTACCAAGTCGCCGTGGACGCCAACATGCACCCATGACTGCAGGTTGGAGTGAGGTGCAAACGGTGGACAGAAAAACTTTTCACACTCATTTTCCAGTGGCAGGGTTTTGTAATTTTAAAAAGAGAGAAGGGTGTGCCCACTCTTGCATACATTGCGAGCCTTTCGCTGCAACGCCGCTGCAGGTACCGATGCTGCCATGGATGCCAGCATGCACTCGTAACCACAGGTCTGCCAAAGGCATAAACGGTGCATATAAAAACTCTAAATACCCCTGTTAAAATGCCAGGTTTTTGTCCCACTAAGCTGTCGTGACATCATTCTTCGCAGAGGATAAATATGCCTCTGCATAACATTGTTTGGAGACATGTTTCTCATTCTGTTCGCATTAATGGCGGCGCGGGCACCCGCAGCGGCTCCTCTTGTTGTCTGTTTAAGAGGGAGGAAATTTCATCTGTGCTGTATGTTCCACATACAGCACATTTGACAATAAAGTTGTACTTGATACTTGATACAGTGAAACTCCTCTACAATGAAATCATGTTTGCAGCAAGAAATTTCCACAACAGGGTTTTTCACTGCAGCAAATTTGACCTCAGATGTAAACACACACACACACACACACACACACAAACGTGTACTTTTTATTTTTATTCCAATAGTGCATAAATATGAGCATATGCTTATTTGACACGTCATATAGTCAGTGTAGAAAGAAAAAAAGGGAAGGAAAGCGAAATTTACGATCAGCATTCACTTTCGCTTCCATCAATTTCTTTCTTCTGTTGTTGTGAATCTCGTCGCGAGGCAAGAGCAGAGAAAAAGATTTCGTACAACGCAACAGGGTTTTTTTTTTCGTTGTATGGGGGCAGGAGAGTGGGAATGGTGTTAATGCATGAAGATTTTTTTCACACTAGGAGGTATTTTCGCCCATGTAGGTTTTGTTGTAGAGGAGTTTCACTGTACTTGATTAAGCTTGTGTCTGAAAAAAAATTGTAAGTGCGGGCACTTGCATCTCAAGGCATCCCTATTTTATCTTACTGTTTGTTCTTGGTTACTTGCCACCACTGCCGCATTTGCGCAGGCACGTGCTAGCGAGGCTCACCCGGGCGCCGCCGTGACCAAAAGTGGCTCTCGTCGCCCGCGGTGGAACGTCCGTCGCCCTCGTACGTTTCCATGCGCACGTGTGATCCTCGCCACAAAGCTTTTCACACGCCGTTTATTAAATCACATCTAATTTGCATGTCGCCTTTGCCGCTCATTTGCATATCAAGTGCTCTCCAACGAGCGCCGAGCTGTCAGCGTCGCTTAGCATCAATTTACACAGCTGGAGCGTGCGCACCCGGGTCAATGCGTACATGCGTAACGCTGCTCCCTCGCGCAAACAGCAAACTTATCTACTTCGCTTTATCCTTAAATACTTAATACCTTAAAAACTTTAAACTAATTGAACACAAATTGAGTGGTGCCTTGAGATGCCGTTACTGGGTCACTCAACGTAGTTGTGAAAGTCTTCTTTGTTTGTGTCTGCAAAGTCGTGCGCACCAGGAGGAGCCGCAATGAATTTGTCCCCATGCGCAAACTCTTGAGTCTTTACGTTCTATGTGTTTTTATGAAGTCCAGTATTAGAGTTTTTGTTCCTGATCAATGAACACACCAAACATGAATCTCAAGGAAGCACTGCATTCATGTGATATCCTACAGCAGGGGTCCCCAACCGCCGGTCCGCGGACCGGTACCGGTCCGCCGGGCATTTGGTACCGGGCCGCACAGAAAGAACTTGCCTTAATTCCGTTTTATTTATTTCGGAATACGAAAGATGTTTTATTTTGAAAAACTACCGGATTCTCCGTTACATCCGTCTGTGTGCTGAATACTCTTGAGATCGCCACAATAGCACTGTTGCTATTTCCGACATCGTACCTGTGTGAGGCGGGGGTTTTCTGCAGCAACGGCGACGAAAACAAAATTACGAAGTAGACTGGACATAAACCACACACTTGAGGTGTCATTGTCTCCTATTACCCCGAGATGGGACCGTCTGGTTGCAGAAAATCAAGCTCGGTGCTGTGGTGAGTCGTCATTTTCATGCACTTTGAATTTGCGTTGTATCGTATTTTGAAGGCATTAAACATTGCTATAGCGATCGGAGTGTTGCGGCCAGATTAGGCGCTCCTTGTGTTTATTATTATATTTCGAAAACGCCACAGTTTTCATGCAGCTCATACCAAATTATTTTGTTGTATAATTTCCACCACACCTTAATTGCCGGTCCCTGAAAATATTGTCTGACATAAACCGGTCCGTGGGGCAAAAAAGGTTGGGGGCCCCTGTCCGACAGCACTCAAAATGTATTCAAATGATTTTTAAACATGTAATATCTTTAATCTAAATTTAACTTTCAATGTTTTCTTTTCCCAAAAATCAAAACAGACACAATTTTGTAACATGAAACCTATAAAATAGGGTAAAAAGTAGTGATTTTTAATTTAATGTGATTTTTTTTTTTTTGGGGGGGGGGACAATATGAAAGGTGTACTATCTTTCTGCTACCCTTGTGACATGGGCGGTATTTTTTTTTACCAGGGTTTGGTGTTTGAGGAGGAGAGGCCTCCGCCTCCCAACCGCGCCCCCTTAGCCCCCATGCTGGAGTTCATCTCGGCCCAGACCGGCGTTCCCGTCGTGGCGGTGGGCGGAGGGGCCAGCCTAGGACGCGAGCCGCAGGTACAAAGTTAGCCTCCCTTTATTTCCTGCTGTCTTCCCGCCCCCGCGGCCACACATTCCCATGTCAGTCAATGGGTGAATTATACATTAGAGGAGGAAACGAAGTCAGGAGGTCCGTTCAAGAAAAGCACAATGCAAGGTCATCATGAAAGGAACACAAGACAAGAAAATGAGTGACGAGTCTGAGCAGCGGAGTGCGTGTTGCAGTCACACAGAAGTATGTGGGACACAGTGTGCGCCCGCCCACGTTTGCAAGCTGCTTGCTGCCACACATGCCACTGACGGTGGATCTGAAGAGTCTACACACCTATTTAAATCCTTGGGGATGTGCGTACTTTTGCAACCAGTTGAATTGCAGGCAACCACCCAGGTTTCCATTTGGAAATCTCATGTGTCCAGATGAATATTTTCTTTTATTTATTTATTTTTTTCAGAAATTAGTACTATCCGTCTGTCCTTACCCACGTCATCTGTTATTTTCCACGCATGACCGACCAATTGAAATGGGTGAAAAATGAGCTTGAGAACAAATCTATCAATGTGCTTCAACGGTCATAAAACTCCACCCCTTCCCTCACTCTACAGGAGCGGCGCAGCTTTGTCACCTCAAGGTTGAAATATTGAAAATACATCTGATTTTTTTTTTGCACTTTACATTCACTGATGTCAACTTGCTACAGAGAAGCACGGTGGGTGCAGTTGACAGATGTTGATGTCATTTGGTCAGGAATCTGATGGTGGGTGGGTGTGTAGAATCTTCATTTTTTTTTTTTTTAAGTCTTGACACTTGTACGTCGTCTGCCAGATGGGAGGAAAAGTAAGTGTTATGGTTGTGCCCTGTCTCTGATGTTGCGTGCCCTCCCCGTTTCACGCCTGCCACTTTTTTATGCCTAATGCTAGAGACGGGCCAACGGAAATGAGTATTGATGACAAGGGTAGTTGCCCACCTTCAAGAAACTGCTCCACAGCACCAAGCACACTGTAAAGAGAGTTTGAATCATTCTGCATTTAAAGAACAAAAACTTTCATCCAACGAAAGTCTGATAGCTTCATGCGAAATGCCCTTGACGGGTTAAGGGAAATTAGCATCAGTTTTAGAGGACTTGAACACACATGGAGCAGCAACTCAAACAGAATGCCTCTTCTCGCTCAGTGCTGCTTTGACACGTTGTGGCAGAAGTTGGTACTACACTGGAAGGGTGCGCAGCCATACATTTGGACCCATGGAAAGATTTAAGACATTTTCAACTGATACGGGAAGTGTTCGGATCAATACTCTACTCGGAAGTAGACAAGTGGCTCATCGGTTGTCAAACGTGTGGCCTGCAGGAGAGCGGCTCCATCTACCTGCAGTTCACGTGCTCGACGGCGCTGCAGCTGGAGGTGATCTTCGAGGTCCTGGAGGAGTACGATTGGACGTCCTTCTCTGTGGTCACCACGCGTCACCACGGCTACGAGGACTTTCTGGACATGGTGGAGGGCATGACGGATGGCTCCTTCATCGGCTGGGAGAGGAAAAGTGTGGTGGTCCTCAATGTCACAGACGACCCTGGCGGCGCCCGCACCAAACGCGTGCTCAAGGACAACGAGGCGCAGGTGAGTAGGCGGTGATAACGGCAATTGTCAGAACACTTCAAGAATCCAATTTCTGTTGGGATTTTGTTGAAATGACGCAGTTACTGTACATTTGAAAAAGAATAAGAAAAACGACCCATTAGTTTGGGAATTTTGTCACGGAAAATGTGGAATGTAGAGATTTGAAAATGAGAAAAATAGTTCCCAAGATGCCCGAAATGAGCTCAACATTTGTTTCAATGGGCCATGAAATGCGGATGTAGGAGATAAAATATGACAAAATATTTGGTGGGAATTTTCTTATTCCAATTTGGAATTTTTTTTTTTTGGAACATAAACATTTTCCCAAGATGACTGGAATGAACTGAATATCTTGAATTGGGAATGGTTTGAATTGGTCCCATGGAAGGAAGCAGTCGAGTTGTCAAATCTCCTTTATTTTGGAATTATAATGTGACAATGGAGGAATTTTGGTCATGTGGCAAATGTGTGTGTCAGTGGAAAGGTGGAAGCGCAAGGATGTGAAAAGAATGGCAGATTAAAACAAACAAACAAGCAAAAAAAAAAAAAAAAAAAGCCCAACATGACAGCCACTGTTTGGACCGAGACTGCACTGTTGTGGCTGCTGTCGAGTTCCTTGTTGTACATTCCAGCTTGAAGCAGATCTATTTTTGCACTTCAAACATGTCATTTGTAGGCATCACAAAGATGCGAGACAATGTAGCGTCCAATTTTTATTTATTTATTTATTTATATATTTTAAGAAGTGGGATTTGATTGACAGTTGATCGGGCCAGGTTTCAGTGCATTCAGCGGACGCGCCTCATGTCTTGCAGATTTTTAAATCATTAATGTGGGCGCTCAGTATATTGTCCATACTATACTGTCCAGTAGGTATCATGAATATGGAAAGTGTTTGGCTGAGGTAGCAGTTCTTGTGTTCACTATAAAAAAAAAAAAAATCAATTTAATTTGGAATTCCTGCGCTGGCCGGGGGTGAGCAATGAATCTTTATTTTATTAATGCCTCATCATTCTCTTGCTAATAAGTTCTTTGATTGGCTTCCAGCCGAGGTGAGCCACTGCGGCCGCCGCGCAAAGAAATTCACCGAGCCCAACAAACTCGTTTTTCCCAACATGGGTTCTAACGATTTCGAATGAGAAGGTGTTTGGAGGCATTTTTATTTCTGTTGGATGCGCGCGGTGGCCTTTGCTCACGTTCATAAAGGAAATCTAAAATTTATTCCCTCCATTCAGCTGTTGTCTTCAAACATGTGTGGTGTGCTTGGAAACACAACTCTGAAAATTCCCTTTCTGGAAGGCGAACGCAGCACGGCGGTTTCGTGTGTCAACGCTGCCGCTGTGTTTATCTGCGCGTCATTCATCAAATATTCAAGAGGCATCCAGGCCGACAAAATGCCCTCTCAAGGCTGCGTTCTTTGACAGTTTTTTTGCGTCACGGCCTTGGCGAGCCAACCAGGTGAGACCGCTCTGTCAGATCGGCATTTCGGCGGCGGCAACGCTTGCAGCGCGGCGGATGAAAAATACCAAATATCACAGGCGACAGCCGTGCCAACCAAAACGCATGAACGCGTCTTGAACTTTGATTTGCGAGTGTTCAGAACAGAAATTCAACAAACGGCAAAATGCCATTTGTGATGAAATGATGAATGCAAAGTGGGAAAGGACGGAGTTTGATGCAGTTGTGATCTATTCGACTACGGATGGATGGAAGAACTGATGGATGGATGAAGTGGTGGATGATGGATAAAATGGATCAACGGATGGGTGGATAAAATGACAGCTGCATAAACTTGACGGATGGCTGACAGATGAATGGATGTTGGATGGACAGCTGGATGGATCAAATGGACACTTACAGTGTATGAAAGGATGGATTTAATTCCCGATGCATGAATTGAAATCGGCGAATGATGGATGGATAATTGGTGGATGGATGAAATACGAGATGAACACATGCCATTATGAATGAATGAAAGACTGGGTGAATGAACTACTGAATGAATGCACTGAAGAACTCCAAATGAGAGGAAGAAATGATGAAAGCTGCAACATGAGTGGATGAAATGATGACGGCTGACAGAGAGGGTGAATGGAATGAATAATGAATGAAGCAATCATCATCGTCATCCTCGCGGCTTTCATCGGTTTTGTCGCTCTTCTTTTTAATCAGACGTTTAATTGTTGCGCTGAATAATTTATGGTGTTGGCGGCCCTGTCTCTGCAGCAGCAGCAAATGAATCAAGATGAAGTGCGCCGTGTGCGAAAATGTACACCCCCCATTATTGCAAAATAATGACTTTCTCGCGTGCTGCTTGTGTACTTTATTGAACATCACGTAGTTATATTGTAACATGTTCTTCTTTTATGGGAACCCCCCCCCCCACACACACACACACACACACACACACTTTTGAATCCTCACCGGGCTTCCGCATCGACAGAACATCTCTTTTTCTTTGACACGTGCGCAGATGAAGTCATTATCTGGTATGGTAGGAAAATAGAAAAGGCTCCGGGACGGATCCCTGAGGGCCGTCGCCATTGAGCTTAGATCAATAGAACATTTCACCCTCTCTTCGCTCTCTTGATATTTGTGCTTGATACATTTTTTTTTTCTTTTACAGTCAGAGGTGTAAAATGTAGCATCAGTCCCAGTTCTTGATGTGAGCCCAGCGCATCGCAAAAATTTGTGAAGCCTGAATGATGTCTGGTTCTTTTGAGTGTCGAGTCCTCGTGTTTTATCTCTCCGGTGTTTTTTCACTTTGTTGCAAGTGACCCCCGAATGCGGCACGATGCTTTCAATTGTCGCGTGTATTTGAAACGAACCTCTCCGGTGTCATTAGCAAGTGGCGCCTGAATTCAACACAATGCTTTCAAGTGTCACTGAAAGAAATCTGTCATTTTCCAGCAAACAAAACTGGAATGCAGAGTGATGCATCAAGTATACCAGATTTTAAAACGGAGATCTCATTTTTCAACAAGGGTGACCCGAAAGCAGTGCGGTGCTCTCATGTATTTGAATCAGGTCTCTCCAGTGTCATCTCAGTTCTTAATGACACCTAAATGCAGCTCGGTGCTTTCAGGTGCCGCTGTATTTAAAACAAATCTCTCATTTGCCTAAAAGTGGAACCCGAATCCCGGTGATCCTTTCAAGTGTCACTGTTAGTGAAACAATCCTTTCCAGTGTCATTTCATTTTGCCGCAAGGGTAAACCGAATGCGGCACGGCGCTTTCAACTCGGCTTGGAAAAAAACGAGTTATTTCTCGCCCAGTGGAACCTGAATGCACCGTGACGCTTTCACCTGTCACTGTGTTTTAAACAAGTCCCTGCAGCACTGTTTCGTCTTCCCGCAAGTGTTACCTGAATGCAGCGCACCGCTTTCACGGAAAACAAGTGCACCATGAAGCTTTTAAGCGTGACTGTATTTGAAATAAATCTCACATTTCCCGGCAAGTGGAACCCAAATGCACCGTGATCCTCTCGACTGTCTCCCAGTCACAGTGTCATTTCACTTTGCACCAAGTGAACGCAGCAGGGGGGGGGGGGGGGTTTACTTCCCAGTTTCTCAATTTTTGAGAGAAATCTGCCTTTCGGCCACCAGTGTAACCTGAAAGTTTTCCCCGCACCTTTTCATTTTCAAGTGACCGTAAGCGGAAGGTGACGCAGCGTTTTCAAGTGGCCCCGTGTCTATGTGGCGTAGGTGCGTCTGCTGTACTGCTCCCTGGAGGAGGCGGAGCTTGTGTTTCGAGCGGCCTGGGCGTCAGGTCAGGCGGGCCCCAGTCACATGTGGTTCGCCGTGGGCCCGGCGCTGTCTGGGCTGGGTTTGGAGGGGCTGCCCAAGGCCTTGTTCGCCATCCGGCCTCAGGGATGGAGGGACGAGCCTCGCAGGTACTGCACTCCTTCTTCCGCTGGTGCTTGCATGCGTGTGAGCCGTGCGTGTTTCAAATGGCAACAAACGTGAACGGCATGTTTTTGGATTGGATGATGCAATACACGATACATGTTTATTAATACTGCATAGCGCTTTCACACCGCCTGCAGCTGCAACAAAGCGCTTTACAGATTATGATGATGACTACTTAAATCAATTCATGTCATTCATTAATTTGATGACAGAGTGAATGTGTAAAATTTTACAGATTTGCAATTTTTTTTCTCATAGTAACTGAACAAATCATTTGACATGACGAAATAAAAACATTTTAAATGTGTACCATTTTCCATAAAGATTGAATATTCATAAATTTGTATGACATAAGAAATACATGTAGCTTCTATTTTTTTTCCATTTTAAGAATATTTTTCTATAATTGGCAAAAAGATGAAAACAATTTTACATGTTAACATGTTCTTACTTTACCAAGGTATAAAACGAGAATGATTTTAGCACCCAAATGAAGTTGGTTTTATTTATTTTTACAAGTTCATCGACAAAGAAGTCCGTCTGTATTCAAACATTTAAAAAAATGTAAATTTAAACGTGGCCCTTAAGCACAAGCAGCAACTGAATAAAACGCGTGAATGCATAGTCGTGGTCTTTTGCGCGTCACGGTGAAAGCGAGTTGACGACGAGCATTGTTTACCGCGGCCTTCGTGTGGCTGGGCTGCTTTGAAAAATACATGAGTGAGAAATAAACTCGGCGTGAAGACAAACAAAATTCACGAGCGGGAGACCCTTTGCCTTTCCTTTTTTTCCTCCCTGTGTCGTTGGGAGCGAGTGGCCGTCCGACGTGTTTGTTCATGTGAGACAAAGGACTCCTGTTGTGTCAATTGGGTCTCTGACATGAAGTAATTGTAATTGTGGAGGGGTCGGGGGTGGGGCCCGCTTGTGATGTGCACCGATGGCTTTGTCATACGAGGCATCGCCACGGCCTCCCGGTGTGTCCTTTCACGCTAGGCTGCTGCGAAAAAGCCTCTTGAGCGGTCGCCAGCTGGTCAGCGGAAGCGGCACGTTCCTTGGCACCAAGATTCCACAAGATCTTGGCAACGTGCTACTTTTGTCTAAATGAAGCTTCTCATTTCGCTTCAGCATAGCACCCTGACACCAAGAGGGAAAGAAGATGGGGCAAAGCATTACTTTTTTTCCCGGATGAATCTCCTCAACTCTCATCAACATAGTTCCTTAACACCAAAATACCACAGGACGCTGGCAAAGCACGACTTTTATCGAAATGATGCTCCTCATTCACTAAATAGTTGTATCCCTTTGTTCTGAGCACAAAGGGAGCCAATGCTGAACCACAAATATGACGGTATAACTCTCTCACCAGAAGCTCATGGTAATCGCCACTACCCTTGCAGCTCCGCTTACCATGCGCATCTCCGGTCCGAGTGTTCTGTTGACGTGTCTCTGTCGGCCCCTGCAGGCGCATCGCCAAGGGCGTGTCGGTGCTGACCCACGGCGCCGTGGCGCTGTGGCGCGACCAGGGCTCCGCCGGCCGGGCTCACATCACGGGAAACTGCCACAACGACGGCAACCGAACGCAGCGAGTGGGCGAGAGGATCAGGTGAGCGCCAGGCCGTCTGCACGTTTGCACTGCTCCGCGACACATCTGCCGGCGGATCGGCGATTTTTTTTCCAATTTCAAGTGTGCTTTTTCCATCTGTCTGGATGGGGGAATACAATAGACAAACACAGTCTACTTGACCACACAAACAATTAGATGTTCTCATGTTTTTTTTACTGAACACCATGTAAGCATTCACAATGCAGGGTGGAAAAAGCATGTGAACCCTTAGGCTAATGAGTTAATTGGAGTCAGAAGTCAGCAACATGGAGTCCAATCAATAAGATGAGATTGAAGGTGTTGGGTAAGGCTGCCCTGCCTAATAAAAAAAAAAAATAAATAAACACACACACACACACACACACACACACACACACCAGTTTGGAGTTGCTATTCTCAAGACGCATTGTCTGAGGTGAACCCTGCCTCTCACAAAAGAGCTCTCAGAAGACCTACGATTAAGGATTGTTGACCTGCATAAAGCTGGGAAGGGTTCCAAAAGTATCTCCAAAAGCCTTGATGTCCATCAGTCCACCGAAACAGTTTTGTCAAGACGAATGGTCCAAGATTCCTCCTGACCGTTACTCCAGGAAACGTTGGGTTGAGGTTGTTGCTGCCAAAGGGGGGTCAACCAGTCATTAAACCCAAGGGCTCGCTTACTTTTTCCACCACGCATGGTCAATGTTTACATGGTGTGTTCAATAAAAACACATGAGAACATATTGTTTGTCTGGTATTAATTCAAGCTGACTGTTTGTCAATTGTTGTGACTGAGATGAAGATCAGAACACATTTTATGACCAATTTATTCAGAAATCCAGGGAATTCGAAAGGGTTCGCATATTTTTTCTGTATGCAGAGATGCAAGAATGAATGTGTGAAAAAAAAAAAGAATATTCATCAATGAAAACTGCACAAGTCCAGCTGCGTAAAAAAGGAGGCAGAACGATTGTACAGCAATGGAAAAATGTAACTAGTGACATTCTCCTAGTGTCCTTTGGCACTCGTGTGCAGAATTGTCTTACTAGTGAGGACAAAGAGTGCTTTAGTACATGCACCTTAAGGGTACGACCCAGGATTTTGAATTAATGGACTACTTGTATGATATCCTCAATAAGGAGGCGACGACCTGTAGTGTGTGACACGTGCTGACTAGTTGGACTTGCTAGTGTGACTAGTGCAGCCCCGCAGTGTTGAATTGTGCACTCGAGGGCTCAAATTGGCCAGTAGTCGTGCCAGAAACATGACTTTCTCTGCTGGTGCATTGAATTGCTTGACTAGTGATAGCAAAGAGTGGAGTGGTGCATGGCTCTCAAGCTGGATATCGAATAAATGCTTGTTTCCACATAGTGGTGGTACGAGTGGTAGTAGTAGTAGTAGTAGTAGTAGTAGTACTCGTAGACAAAATATTATCAGAAGTAGTGATCAGGTGCAAAACGGCCTAGGTTTGGTCCGCCTGTCCTGCCTTTGAAACACGGAGGCTGAAATGAAAATAGCCTCCGCAAGGCTTCGTTTGACCCGGGTTGGGGGGGAGTGGGAGGAGTCACGGGGGTGGACGGCAGCCCTCGGGTGCAGAGGACAAAGGTGTGAGGAGGAAAGAGCAGCAGAGCAGGTGGAAATGATGCGGACGGACAGACAAGGCAGAAACACGCAGGGAGGGGAGAGCTGACTGTGCAAAGTGATACTTCGACGTCTGTTTGTAGTCGGAATGCAAGTGCTACTACTTCCACTGCTACTACCGCACAACCACAAGCAGTGGTCTCAGGTTCCCGGTATTCGTAGTAGGACTACTACGACTACTTTGTATGACCAGCATTGCTGCGTACTAGATTGAATATGCCAAAGCGCAAAGTAGCGAGGGAACACTGTACACAATACATAAATCATCACTTAAATAATACATGGAAATCCACACACACAGTGATTTTGTGACACGAAATGTAATGGTTGTCGTACTGCGCTGAGGACGCTTTATTCGACACAGTCGCCGTATAGCGTGATCACTTGAACATCTTTCAAGGGAAAGTCAACCCCAAAATGTTCTTTGCAAGAATAAGTTCGATGCGCCTCAACGGGTTTGTGGAATATGAGTTAAGCAGTAAAATCCAAAATCGTTTTTGGCCATCTCAGTGGGGCGGCCATTTTGCCACTAGCCGTCAACTGAAAATGACATCACAGTCGCTTGGGGCTCAGCTTCAGAAAATGGGTAAATGGGCTGTCCCTTGTAGAGTGGTTTTCTACCTCGGCTACTCAAAGCGCTTCAAAGCACTCTTAGCTACTGATGATGCAGCATCAGGAGCGATTGGGTGTTCAGTATCTGTTCAAGGACACTTTGACATGGTCGCGGTGGCTGGGAATCGAACCCCCCAGAAGATGGGTGGGCTTTCCTGCTTAACTTGTAGCCCACAAACACAATATGAATCAGAATGGCATGTTTAGACTAGTGGAGGCGCATAGACCATATTATTGTCAAGAAAATGTGGTAGTTGACCGCCCCTTTGAAGGCGTTATCTTCATCTGGGGGTTTTCTTCTTCTCCGGTTCGTCTGCCTTCTCCCTCCGTCATCTACCTCCTGCCTTTTTTTCATTCCGAATGCTTCCATCTTGCCAATTTCTTCTTCACCTCCCGCATACCCCAGCCGCCGTGTTGCCGTGGCAACGTGCCCCGCTCGTGCTCACGCTGCACATGAAGCTGGTTTATTTACAAGCGTAATAGGAAGCGCACGCATGCCAAGCCGAGGGAGAAACGATGAGCGATGGTCCGCATCAAATGTCCCCCATTACGCTTGCGCTAGCGTGTTGCTAATTGGACAAACGTGAGCGCAAGTCATATATGCCCAAGTTGTATGTAACGTAAGGATGAACTTCCATTCTTGTGCCCAGGTATGTCCTCCCTTTTACTTGACGTACAGTTAAGTGAGTGGCAGCATTTTTAACCAAGTTCAAGACACGGAGTCTTGCAAGATTTTTAGCCAAGCTGGAAATCAAACCACTCGAATCCCCGCACCTTGGCTGTTGGCCTCCATTAGCGCCAACGAGACTCGTGAATGGCGCCCGGGGAGCGTGCGCCAGCTTTCACAACAATGCCAGCGGACAGACGGATGCGTCTGGGCTCCTGACAGCCGGCCACTTAGCGTGCGGCTAACGCGGCGCCTCGAGGGGGCGTGGGCGAGCGGTGGCGTGCGATACACCTGCGGCGGTAACATCCAAAAGTTGTTTTCACGTCAGCCAGCCAGCCAGCTGTGCGGAAAAGCTTCAGGCTTTCATGGAGTCTGGGCATTGCTGGTGTAAAAAAAAAAAAAAACAAAAAAAACAATTGAACAAAGACAGGATATCATTCAGGCTTCCTGGTTGGCGCGTGAGCCTCAAAGTTTTGAGGTTCCGGGTTCAAATCTTGGCTCTGGCTTGCCTGTGAGTAGTTTCGCATGTTCTCCCAGTGTTTGGACTCAGCAACACAATGGTTGGCATTTGTCTCTCGGGTGGGGGGCTTCTGTGTATGAAAGCCTGGGAAATGTCTCTTCCGAAACAAAGACTCAGATGACAGTGGGATGCTGTGTTGTCTTTCTGTGCCATGCGATTGGATGGTCAGGCGACCAGTCCTTTGTATGTCTCTTGATGTTTCTGACACTGGCTGATGACCAGGAAATATTTTGTCTACGTGGCCGAGCATCGACTGGCAACCGCTCTATTGTTGGTCTGCATGTGTCCTACAGTCGGCTGGCGACCGGTCTATCTGGTGTACCCCATCTCTTGCCCAAAGTCAGCACGGATAAGCGCTCGATAAAATGGACCGTTGGGACATCATGGAAAAAAAGGACAGGCTTCTTGATCTTATCGCTTGATAAAAATTCAACCTAGTAGACAGGAAGTGACAACTGGCACGCCTTTCAAATCAACACAATGCACACTGACATGGCACTCGAGACAAAAATTCAAACAGAAAGTTGTCAATCAAAACAAATGCCGCAATTCTGACTGCAAAAGACAAACAAAATGCACACGGAGCAACGTGGTCGTTGGCGCTTAATCCGCTGTTGACGCTCCCGCAGCTCGAGTTTGCATCCCCTCCTAAAATGAGCCTCTGGAATCGGCGCCATGCACTTCTTCTCGTTCTTCCTTCCTCACCTCCTCTCCTTGGCGTCTCCCTGCCTGAGCCCGTCCACGCATACGATTCCCCAATTGGCATGCAAAACCATGAATCGCATTCGTCCGCAGAGATCTGCTGGAGAGCAAAGTGGAAGGAAGGAAGGATGGACGGAGCGAGGCAGCAGGTAGAGGGCGGATGGAGATAGGGGTGCTTGATTCAATAAGCCTGAATGAAAAACAAGCGACAAGAACAAGTCGAAAAGTGGACGGCGGTGAAAAATGGCCTCAGAGAAACACAGAGAGTGATGGATGCGGAAGACCAGCGCAAGTGTTTGTTTGGGAAATATCTCCCCCCCCCCCCCAAGAAAAAAAAATCACGGCTCAGATAAGAGAAGGCAATCTAAAACTGATCCCCAGAGGGAGAAATTGTGCTATTTTCTGTCGCAATCCAAATATTTCTCATTGCCTCGTGACCCTTCCTGTTCAGTTTCAGTTTTTCGCGCGTCCTGTCCACCCAAATTTCTGCCCGGATGCCAAAAACCAACCGAATTTGATTGAAACTCGCTGTACCGTATTTTCCGCACTAAAAGGCGCACCTAAACGCCTTCCATTTTCTTAAAAGCTCACAGCGTGCTTTAAAATCCGATGCGCCTTGTGTACGGTAATATGTCAACCCCAAAATGGCTCCTTGCTAGAGACATGCTTACAACACAGAGTTCAAACTTAAGGCGATCTGTTGCGCAGTTGAACACGGAAATAGAGCAGCGGAAAGAGAGTTCAACGTTAACGAGTCAATGTTCTAACTTGCTGTTGGTGAAGTGAACTGTGTCGCTGCTTTATTAAATACGTTTTACTGACATCTGATCGGCGTTATATAAATCTGGACGTAGTGTAGTGTTCTGTTGGCATTTCCTTGAGCGTAGCTCCATCTAGTGGATGCATTGTAGATTGCGTCTTATAAAGCGGTGCGTCCGATATATGAAAAAAAAGACAAAATAAGCCATTCATTGAAGGTGCGCCTCATAATCCGGTGCGCCTTTTGGTGTGGAAAATACGGTACTTGTTGAAAGTGGTGGCACAACACTAAATCTCAAATTTTAGGTCAATCGAAGCAAGGCGTCCATCGAATTTTCAGTAGTTGGACAAAAAGGCGCGTGGCTGCCTTCCTTTCATCCTTGGAACTACGGGGTCCATCTTCACAAAACGGGTCTTGTTGGAAACGGAATTCAACAAGGAATCCAAATCTGCCATCATTTAGTAACTTGACCATTTGACCAATAATTTGCCCTTGAAATTGGCCCCGTGGGATCCTCGCAATTTTTTATTCCTGTCTCAAATCTTTTTCTGGAAAGTTTGAGGCATTTATTTATTTATTTTTTCGGGGTGCCGCAGACCATTCAGAATACCGTGAGGTCACGCTCGCGCCAAGTGAGAGAAGAAGAATGGCAGGACAAAGGCTCCCCTCTGCCAATGGGGCCGAGCGCAAAACGTGCCACCGGGAAAGCAGAGGGACGGAAAGAAAAGCGAAAAGGCGGCCAGATGAGTTTTATTGAGCACCAGCAAAGCATTTAGTCAACAAAAGCGCAGCTCGCGAAGAAGACGGCGCATCTCATCGAGTCGCTGTGCCATCACGTGACTTGGTAATAATAGCCCTGCATTGACTCTGTGCCCCGAAAGGAGCACATTCATCCCACCACTTTGGGCAGATTGTTTTGGATCGACATTATTGTTGAAAACTGTCGCCGGAAAGAAGAAAAAAAAACCAAAAAAGCACTGAAAATCCATGCGAATTATACACAAAGTCTTGGCAAGTCTGTGGAAGTTTTCTAGGAATGTTCGGTTCGAGACCACCTTTACTCCAAACCGATACCACTACGAGTGTCAGCAATCTCACCAATACCGATCACCGACACCATCAGTGCTTCTAAGTGATCACATTTAATGAACATAATGACAAATAACCGTGAACCAGCGCACTTTGGTTTTGACACACATGATTTGTGAACGTATTTAACCGCTGCAGCGTAGCGCCAACTACTGATACCTTGAAATAACGCCGGTAGGAACCTGATACCTGGTATCGATACTCGCCCATCCTGCTGCTGACAGCCATTAAAATACAGGGTGTTCCAAAAGTCTTGGGCACGTTTGAAGTCCCCATATCGCCTTAACTATGAATGGTAGTAAGATAAAAGTCGTGCCATTTTAAAGCTAATTACATTAAGTTTTTCGGAAGGCTATTGATTTTTTTAATTTCTTTTCAGACCCATTAATGGTGTTCACTCAACCAGAAAAGGCGTTTTGTGTGCTTGAATTTGCAAAAACTGAATCATGGACTGTTGTTTAAAGTGCATAGTCCATAGTTGAGATGGCATGGTAAATTCATAACGTATGGGTGCTTATGGCCAGCTAAAAGAATGGGACGAAAAACAGAAGCTGTTGCAACCATTGACAATGCAATGCTGGGACGCGTTTGGCAAGAATTTGACTTCATTCGGCTTCATGTGTGTCGTGTGACCAATGGTGCTCACATTGAACATCTTTGAACATTCCATGTAAAAATTGAGATTACAAGCTTTCTGAATTGACCAGAGGCGTTTTTATATCCTTAATAGTTTCCGAGATATTCAATGTCAAAATGTGCCCAAGACTTTTGGAAGCGTCTGTCCTATGGGGTTGTCTGTCCATCCGTGACAAAGTGGTTCAAGTCTACGCTAAGCTAATGGAAGTGTCTGGATGTAGATGTAAATTCTTATACAGCGGTTGTGACTCCCCACGTGTGTCCAGGGGTTAGAAATCAACACGTGATGCGATTGCCCTTTCCTTTCTTTTACGAGCCGCCTCCTTCAGGCCAAGTGTGGAACTGCGCCCACGACGTGCATTTTGTGTTCACCGCATGAAGGACAACCGCGTGCAAGAAACGTGACGGCGCCAAGGTGAAGTTTTTGACAGAGGGGGGGCGGGTAGGAAGAGCGGAGCGCACGCACGCACGCACACACACAGCGAGCCAATGCACAAAGACGCACACACGACAACACGACAGATGTGAGCAAGACGAGGCGGACGCCTTAATGAGCGGCGAGGGACGTCATTTTGTCTCCTCAGTGAGATGATGTCAAGATCAATCTCCTGCTTTGATGCACTTAGGAAAGCAACTTTTTTTTTTTTTTTTTTTTTACATTGTGGATTGTTTCTACGCTCTGCAATTGGCCGATTACGTCAAGTCCTTTTGACTCACGCTGCTGAATGGTTGCAGGAAGGCAGCAGGCGCGAGAAGGTCCTCGGAGGTCGCCTGTAAAACTTAATCCAAGTTTCATGTCCTTCCTCAGCTGTCCTCGGTTTACCTCATTCGGTATTCTGCTCGTTCGGCTCTAACGGCCAATTGGGGCCTCCCATGCCACCGGAGCGCATCCGTAGGCAAACAGCGGCCAACCCCAAACGCTATTCCGCACCATCAGCTCTGGGTTCTGGCAAAATCATCGTGGTCGTCGTCATTATTGGCGGCGGTGCGGCGGAAGCACCGAGGAACCTCTTTTGTGCGCATGAGAAAATGTCAGCGGCTGTTCACACTCTGTAAACAAAAGGAGACGCACACATTGTGATAAGCGGGGCCCATTTTGAGGCCGATTGGCCAAATGTGACAAAGTCAATGAAGGACATGACGGCACGACTCTTTCACACCACCAAAGGGCACAGTCCCAGTCCCTCGCCCAAGTGCGCCTTAGTCATGCGGCGAGCGTCAGAGCGCCTTTTCGGCTGGAAGCCACGACGACAAAAAAAAAAATGCTTTCCTGCGGCTGGGTGAAATGGCAATCGGCTGATCGACTCATTGATGGCCAATCGATGAGGTCATCGTGCGTGTTGCGGGTACTGATTCCACCCCCAAATTTTTTTTTTTTTTTTTTTTTAATGGGTTTTTAACTTATTCACCCTCTGTAGAGGACATTTGTAAACCTAAATATCTCCCACCCAGTGCATCCAATCGCATTAACTCCTTTTGTTACTCTAAAGAGGACATTCAGTGCTTTCCAATGATACCAAATTTGTAGGAGTTAGAAAAAGTCAGAAAATGGCTTCCCTCAGTGCAAGCACTTTTTATGGGAAGAGGAAAAGTAATACTTTTTATCAAACACATTTTGTCTTGAAATGCTGTTGGCATTTTATTTATAAGACTCTTATGAACACATTCAAGTGTTGTTTGAGTTGTTTTAAGTGTATTTGAGCCTAGTATTCAAGTGTTTAAAAAATGTAGTGGAATTTCAAAAATTTCTTTTGGAGTAGTCCAATTACTTCAATAGATTGGGGAATTTCAAAATAAATGTGATTGGACAACATTTTTTTTCCTGATAGTCAGGAGGATATAAACATGGAGCCTACCAAAATAAAGTTTGGACTCTCTTCTTTCAGCAGAAAAAAAAAAGTTGTTTCTATCTTCTTCCATTCTTCAGCAATCGGCATAACAAAATGGCTAAGTTTCATGAAAATGGCGATTCCTGGGGAAAAAACGGAGAAAAAGAGCATTTTTGTAAAAGCCTGCATTTCAAGCACGTGAGGCACCACTGCCACCTACTGGTCACTTTTTTACATGATTTACAATGCAAACGGCTTATTCTCATTCACAGATTGCATCAGACCCTCCTCCTCTCTATGATGCAAAAAAAAAAAAAAAGACTTAGACGTACAAGTACATCCTTGGTAGGCGGGGCCTAGGGGCCTAATTTTAAAAAGACGTACAAGTACGTCTTGTGGAATGAAAGAGTTAATTTTCATGAAAATATGTATTGTATTGATTATAGATAATGTGTCTCCGTATGTCTGACAAAACCATGAAATGTGTTCCGCGTAGTGGTTAAGGAGTAAGCAGGACATAAGAACATTTTGGACTCCCAAATCACTTCAAAGGCATTTCTGGTCTTTGTTTTGTTTAAGTCCACTGTTTAAGATTTTTTTCTTTTCTTCGGTTTCTTTGTTTTCAGGTACTTCACCAACATCTCGATCGGGGGGCGGGACTACTCATTCAACAACGATGGCTACCTGTCCAACCCGCTGCTGGATGTTATCTCGTACAACAACGGGCGTGGCTGGGAAGAGGTGAGTGCCGCGACGGCACACTTTTTTGTGCTCCCTTAAAAACGTCCTCATCGCAGGTCAACTTACTAGTCAGCCGCATAACCACTCGGCTTTCATCAATGGACCGAGACAATCTTAGGGGCAGAGGAAGCTTGTCGGTGAATAAATTGATTGACGGTAAATTGACGGATTGATTAGCCATTTGATTGATCGGGCAATAGGTTGGTCGGTCGATTAGTTGATTAGTCAATCGGTTGGTTCGGTGATGATTGTTTGGTTAGTCAGTTCGTTAGTCAAGTGATTGGATTTATTGATTGATAATTATTTAGTGAGTGGCTTGGTTGGTTAGTTGGGGGGTTAGGTGGGTTGCTCAATTACACAGTAGTCAATTGATAGAGAGCTTGTTGGTTAATCCTTTAATTGTCAGGTTTATTGATGAGTTTATAGACAGGTTGATTAATCAATCGATAGGTGGTTCAACTGGTTGACAGTGGTTTGAAAGCTCAGAGTACAGTGGTACCTCTGCCTATGAAATTAATTGGTTCTGGAAGAAACTAGAACATTTTGTAAGTAGAGAGGCGTTTTCCATGTAAATGCCCTAATCCGTTCCAAGCCTCACTAAAATTCAGACAGAAATGTTTCCTAAAGCATAAAAATGCATCAAAATATGCCACAAATACATGTTACAATTAGATCATTGGACAATAAATGAGAGTTGTGCATCATATAAGGAATAAAAATGATGGTCATTTCACTTTTAACTGCGTCATCGTTTTTTGCCCTCGTTTTAGTTCATGTTCTCTCTCAGAAGTGGTTTTTGCCTGGCGTTTTGGAATGCACCGATCCAAGGACGTTTGCTTTTGTCGGCTTTTAACAATTCTTCGAAAATGTCCAAGGCGAACATCGGCATAGTGAGCGATCGTCCGACTGGTGAACATTTTTCCTGGGTGATTCACATTTACGTAAAACTATCGGAACGCCTCATGACCCGAGGGACGAATGACGAGAACGCTGCATAGACGCATATCTATCTATTTAGCTATCTACACAGATACACACATACGGTCAAAGTCCCTCTTAGCCAATGGGATGCCAGGATGATGCTCGAGAATAGCCAATGGCAGAGCAGCTATAAGTATGTTGCGTTCAGGAAACTCGGAGCTGCGAGTAGCAGCCTGCGCTGTATTTTTTTCGAAACAAGAGGAAAAAACAATATTTTCCTGTTGGGGCGTTTCGTAACTTGAACATTTCGTATGAAGAGATGTTCGTAAATAGCGGTACCACTGTATGAGGAAGAGCGGCGTCGGCGTCATAGGACCCAATGAGCCCATCTGCTGAGTTGAAAGCAAACAGAAGCGCCGCTGTTGTGATCTTGTTTTTCCCCGTCGCTTCCTTTGTGTGTCCTAAGCCAAACTTGAACGATCAAACGTGAGAGACGGAAAAGCGCGGCCGACCTGACTCCGGTCGAGGAAATGTTAGCGTCCGATCCAAAATGAATGTCCTCGTTTGACGGCTGAACAAAAAGGCCGTTTATTTTTATCTCCTCCTTGTTTTCTCGTCGTCTTTCTCTCGCCCTCTTTTTATCTTCCTCTTCATCACCTTTGCAGACTTTTACAATTGCGCTCCCAGCATCCACTTCATCATCATCGTCATGTTCTCTTTCTTTTTATTAGGACTTTATTTGATTCTCTCCTATGAGCTCCTTTGTTTAACCTCATCATTTGGAACTTTAGCTTGTCATATGAAAGTGTTACTCTTGTGTAAGGACACACTCATTAGATTAGACATAAAATGATGATGGCAGCGGCTTAAATGTACAGTGCACCTTTCAAGGGACCTAAGTCACACTAAAGAATAATAAACCCATTGAAAACTCGATGAACCAAATTCAGTATTTGAGAGTACTGATATGACAGTAATATATTCGACAATGATAAATCAACAATGATCAACTGATTCACCAATGCTAAGTTAATTACAGCATAATAAATTAAAGGACTAGAAACACATCAGAGAATAATATCCCTAATTAAAGAATACTGAACTGATGAGAAAAGGAAAACTGAGAATATTAAGGTTGGCTCGAATTGGAAAATGACAATAACATCAAATCATTATTCTGAAAGTTTATTCTCAAGTCAAACAAATGAAAGACTTATTCTTCCACTGCTTTATTCTTTAATTGAAAAAAGCATCGGGGAAAAATAAACTAATTGAAGATTCAGGAATAAAATAATGAATAAAAAAAATAAAGAAAAGAACAAATGAATTGAATAATAATAAACACGTAAGAATCACCCAATCCATTCAAAAGGATTTGATTCTGACACAAACACCATGTTGCGTTCTGTTGCGTTACGTGGCGCCTCGCCAGAGGCGAGGCTCTCACAAGGCTGAGCGACGTGTTTTGCCTGTTTGCGTGTCAGGTGGGCTGGTGGGAGAACGGCCACCTGCGGCTGCGTTACCACCCGTGGTCGCGCTACGGCTCCTTCCTCAAACCGTTGGACGACGCCCAGCACCTGCGAGTGGTCACGCTGGAGGAGCGACCGTTCGTCATCGTGGAGCCCGCCGACCCGGGCACCAGCTCCTGCATTCGCGACTCGGTGCCCTGCCGCATGCCCCTCAACTCCAGGTTGGCAAAGAATAACATTTGAAGTCCTTCCCCATCGTTGAACGACGGAGATGTCTCGAAAAACTTCGAAGGCCCACTTCTGTAAACTGCAGCCGGCGAGGCGCCGCAGCGGCTAGCGATAGCAAGTTTTGCACTGAGCTTCGGCTGGCTAAACACGGTGCTGTTTGGCTGCTAACTCATCCGTCGCGGCCTCCATCATCTCGCCTCCGTGGCAGCAAATGAGCTATACTTTTTACAAGTATCGTTCTCACCAAGGAACTACACGGACTAAAAGTGGCAATAAAACAGGCCAAAATCCAGATGTCAGGGGCATGACGCTATAGTTCACTTCTTTATTGCGTTGTATAGTTAACATTAAAGAAAACCAAATGAAGAAATACAGATCAATGTACAACAAAGCATAACTTTATTTAAATTTATTTTATTTATTTATTTATTTTGTCTCTCTCCGTCTTTCTTTGTATCCCTCTTGGTGTCTCTTTAGGGGTTGTTCTGTGATATATGGCGCTGTGTTCACGTCTTTTGCTCTGTGTTGTGCGTGTGCGCACATGTATTGCACACTCTAACTATGAGACCGCCATTGCCACCTACTGGAGTGGATGTGCAATGACACTTCATTCTAGGCAAAATTTAAAAAACAAAAAATGTTCCTGGGGTAATGCACCGCGGATGGCAATCGAATACTCTGGCATGGGAATTCCTTGAGGACTTTATGGGGAACTACATTGGGGGCGACCTCAAAATGTGCTTGGCTTGCAGCCTGGTGGTGGAAGGCGTGTCTCCCATGAAGCATTGCTGCAAAGGCTTCTGCATCGACGTCCTCAAGAGGCTGGCCAAGATCGTGGGCTTCACCTACGACCTCTACCTCGTCACCAACGGACGCCACGGCAAGAACATCGACGGCGAGTGGAACGGCATGGTGGGCGAGGTCGGTTCTCGATCGCACGTGCGGGCGAGTGCATGTGAGTGTATGTACGAATAGAAGTCATGCTCACGGCGGTGTCGATCTGCACACTTCCTGTTGGCCAAAAGCCACTTTCGCTTCCTCAGCCGCCATCTAACCGAGCCTTGCCGTTCCCACAGGTGGTGTCCAACAGGGCGGACATGGCCATCGGTTCGCTTACCATCAATGAGGAGCGGTCAGAGGTTGTGGAGTTTTCTGTGCCCTTCGTGGAGACGGGCATCAGCGTCATGGTTTCCCGTAGCAACGGCACCGTGTCGCCTTCAGCCTTTCTTGGTGTGTTATGCTGACAACTCGACATGATGTTTAGGTTCCACGAGTAGAGAAACACAGACGTATATTAGAGGGTGGCATGAGGTGACAGGTGTGGTGGTGTGAGGGAGCACCACGGGAAATCAGGGGGGACACGGCTGAGGTGACTTGTTGCTGACACCAGTGACCGTTCGGGTCAGGCAGGTACGTTGCAGGGTGGCACAGCTGGCATGTCAGGTGACACAAGTGACTGTAGGTTTGGAGGGTGACACAAGGCATATTTGGGGTGACACGGCTGCTTTAAAGGTAAGGTAAGGCACGACACGGGGGACAGAGGTGGTTTGTGGAGCGGCCCAACAAAAATGCAGGGGTGGGGGGGTGGGCAAAGCTGATGACGAGTGACGTACAGTAGGTGGCGTCTGGAGCGCCGCAGGTGCCTTGTCGGGTCGCTAGCGCAGGTTGAATTTGTATTGACACAGTTGGCTTGAGGCTGACATCGGGTGACACTGCTCGTTTCTTTCGATTGATTACGTGCCTTGCGCCGTTAAAAGGAATCCATCGCCGCTATGTCGGACGACTTCGAACGCCAAGGAAGCTGACTTCAAGTCTGATATTATCCAGACAAGCGCTCCATGCGCCCACACTCACGCAAAGAGCCTGAATGCTGGTGTCACTTTCACCTCCAGCCACAGATGGCACGTCCCGCTCCCCCGTGTTGCGCAGCATCCTCAAAGAATGCATGACTCCCGTGGTGCTTTACGGCAGATACTGTAAGCGTGAAGAAGTAATACTCCCACAGTGACGCACGGGCAACGGAAATGAGCCACTCGTTTTCATTTGCTGCCGTAATTCCACTTGCCCATGCGCTCACAGGATTAGAAGGTTGCTCGCCAGGCAGAGACAGGAACTGGCAGAGGCGCCATATCGATGGCCGCCGAGCCGATGGGCGAAAAAGTATTTTCACGCGAGCTCGTTAACGAGTCAAATGTTATTGTACAGGCATCAGTCAGCTCGTTAAGCCAGTCAGCCCTCGGTGGCGTCTTGATGTTCGCATTGAATTGATTTTACGGCCGCGCCGTTTGTTAATTAGAAGAATCACTGGAGGGCCGGTCGCGGGGGCTCAACGCCACTCACTCTTGGTTGCGTCTGACACGTTTGCACGCAGCAGGCGGTGCGGGGACACGCAAGTGAGGCTGGGGCCGGGTGACACAGCCGGCTCATGTAGCTGCTATGTGGGGGTGACGTGAGCGGGCGCACGGGAGTCCTTGGTCACGCCATGTGACGCCGTCCAGCAGGTTTTAGATGTCTTCCTCCACCCGATCCAAATGATCGGGATCGTTATCACAGTCTTGTCAGAGCTTGCTAATGAGCTGATTATTTCAATCTGGTGTTGGGAGGTGGAAGACATTTAAAACTTGCTGCATAGGACTGGAGTTGGACACTTCTGGTCTACAGCGAAGAGTGACACGGGTGACATGGGGAAACACCAGTGGCTTGTTGGGGTACAAAGTCTTAAAAATTTTTTTTTAAAAAGATGTCTGACGAGACATCTTGCCCAGAATGCGACCTACCTAGGACGCTCTCTCTCTCTCTCTCTCTCTCTCTCTCTCTCTCCTTTAAACTCATTTTTTTTTCAATATGCAAGAATAATAAAACGAAAACAAACAATTGAGAAGAAATCCTCATCCGAAAAACAACAAGAATATCATGCATTGATGCACCGTCGTGCCATTAAAAATCGAAATACAATCCATGTCATATCTATGATGCACTCTACTTCGGACTGACTTTACCACCCTTAGAATGCACCCCAGGTTGCACCGTGATCTCAAAGCAAGGTCATCACACCTATCTAAAAAAAAAAAATCGAAATAAATGTCTTGCTGTACTCGATAAAAGGAAAACATCACGCTCGCTAATGAGCATCGCTTTTCATAAATAATGACGTAAACTTAAAAAGAAGGCACTTTGTGACTGTGTAAACATGACTTCAAGCCCCACCACTAATGAGTCATTTTACGAGGTTCACTCATAAAAAAATAAATAAAAATAACACCGTATGAAATCAAGCGAGGTAAATATTTACAAGTCATCTCTCAGAAGGCAAGAGGCTCCTACCATTCTTCGTATTAATGCCAGAACATCAATCAAGTGCAACTAAGAAGCTTTTTATGACTTCATCCCTGCTGAGCGTCTCTGTCTAAACATGACTGTGTAAACATGACTTCAAGCCCCACCACTAATGAGTCATTTTACGAGGTTCACTCATAAAAAAATAAATAAAAATAACACCGTATGAAATCAAGCGAGGTAAATATTTACAAGTCATCTCTCAGAAGGCAAGAGGCTCCTACCATTCTTCGTATTAATGCCAGAACATCAATCAAGTGCAACTAAGAAGCTTTTTATGACTTCATCCCTGCTGAGCGTCTCTGTCTAAACGCACACACACACACACACACACACACACACACACACACACACACACACACACACACACACACACACACACACACACACACACACAACAACCCCTCAATCTTGGATGCTGAGCAACAAAATGTGTGTTATTCTCATAGTATATAGTACAGTAAGCAGAGGTATTACTTATGAAATGAATTGGTTCTGGAAGAAATGCCTTAACTAGAAAATTTAGTCAGTAGAAACGTGTTTTCCATGTAAATGCCCTAATCGGTTCCAAGCCCCCCCAATTCAGACATAAATGTGTTCTAAAGCATAAAAACGCATCAAAATATGAAACAAATACATATTACAATTAGATTATTTCACAATAAATGAGAGTTGTGCATCATGTAAAAAACTGAGTAAAAAATAAAAATGATGGTCATTTAACTTTTAACGGCATCCTCATCATTTTTTGCCCTCTTTAGTTCATGTTCTCTCTCAGAAAGGGTTTTTTGCCTGGCGTTTTGTAAAGAACCGATCCAAGGACGTTTGCTTTGTCGGCTTTGAACAATCCTTCGAAAATGTCCAAGGCAAATATCAGCATAGAGAGCGATCGCCCAAATGGGGATCACTTTTTTTGGGTGATTCGCATATACGTCAAGCTATCGGAATGCCTCATGGCCCGAGGGGCGAATGACGAGGACGCTGCATAGACACTTATCTATCGATCTGCACCCATTGACACATACAGTAGAGGTCCCTCTTAGCCAATGGGATCCCAAGAAGATGCTTGGTAGTAGCCAATGGCAGAGCAGCTATAAGTATGTTGCGTTCAGGAAACTCAGAGCTGCGAGCAGCAAACCATACTGGATTTTTACCTTTCGTATCTCGAAATTTCTTTCGCAACAAGAGACAATATTTTTCTGTTGAGGTGTGTCGTAACTTGAAAATTTCGTATGAAGAGACGTTCGTAAGTAGAGGTACCACTGCTATACATACAATGTCCATCGGCACACAAACATCAGAAGTTACCGAATGAGCACATTGCTGAAAGGTGTGTCCGAAAGCAAACCTGTTGTTGTTGTTGCTGCAGAGCCCTACAGCCCAGCCGTGTGGGTGATGATGTTCGTCATGTGTCTATCGGTGGTGGCCGTCACCGTTTTCATCTTTGAGTTCTTCAGCCCAGTCGGTTACAACCGCAGCCTGCAGAGCGCCAAAAGTAAGACGGCAACCTCGCCTTTGTCGTCTTGTTGCCAAGCGTGTGTGCGAGGTCGACTTCAAGAGTTGTTTTCTTTCATGTGATTGTCCATGTGACAGTGGGCAGAAAAACTAGCTTGAATATTTCATGAACCCGAGGATTCCTTTCGGCCCCAATTTGTCATGGCATAAAACCGGTAATCCTCAACGAAGATTTTTTCTTCAGGCGACCTGTTCCCTTTTTTGTCTCAGAGTCGGGCGGCTCAAAGTTCACCATCGGCAAGTCGGTTTGGCTCCTGTGGGCGCTGGTCTTCAACAACTCGGTGCCTGTAGAGAACCCGCGAGGAACCACCAGCAAGATCATGGTCAGTTTGTTGGTTTTTCAAACAAGATTCACACCCCTCCCCCCCATTTATTCATTCCATTGATGTGAAACTCCGAAGCAGGTCAGACGAGCTTTTCTCCGACCTGAAAGCGTACCAGCGTTAGCTTGGCGAGTTCAGAAGCAGCCTGACAGCGTTGACGAGGACTGGCAGGAGGAGACGAGCTCGTCTCATTCGCTTGAGTTTTCAAGCCATCCGCTGGAGCGAAAGCAGGTGGCTGCTCGGCAAATTTGGATTGTTGCGCCTCGCCCATCTCGTGCAAACTTGCCACCGACCCATACAAAGATAAACGACTACTCTCCCGTTAGCCTTTCGATAGCATTTTTTAGCCTATTCGCCAAACAGTGGACTGGTTGCTCCTCATTGTCAGGGTGTGGTGAAGTCCTTTGATGTG